TATTTTGTAAAAATTAATTTTATAGTACTTTAATATGGAAATTTATATTTACAAATTTGGAATAATATAATTTTGAAAATGTTTTGGAAATTGGAAACATTTTTCTTCTGTATATCTATATGTAGATGTAATACTATTTAATATTTATAATGATTTTTAATTGCATAAATAAACTTCTTTTGAAAGTAAAAATATTCAATTTTTTAATTTATACAGATAACAATCCATTCATAGTAACCAGTAATAATTGTAATAGACATAATACTCGCATAATTGGTAACAAATATTAATCTTTATTTAACGTGTATATTATATTCATAAATAAAAGTATTATTTTAGTTATATGAATAAGAGATTGGTGCTCCTGGGGATAAAAGTTAATGGCACTAATTGCCAATAAGGTCACATATATAAACAATTGCCCTAATCTAAACATACTTTAGGTCTGCATTATTTGTTCTTAATTCCATTAAAAACTTATGCTTACTTAATCATAAGAAAGGATTGTTCGAATTTCTTGTCATGTTGCTCACACCAGAACCAACCTGAAACATGTTATATGTACTCAAATGTATTTCATAAATATAAAAGAATATCGAATGTATGTACCATAAAAGGATTTGCATGATAAGCTGGAAGAGTTGGTTGCCATACTTTGTTCGTCATTAATTGACTAAGTTGTATTACATCTCTGTTACTAGATGGTCCGATACCTACCCATTGTGGATCTAAAGTATTTATATTTAATTTACTTTCAATTTTTTTAAATATACAAGTACTTTATGTTACTCAAATAGGAACTTACCATTATTCATAGGGAATTGTACTGGTTTAAATGGATTAATAGGATTACATAAAGAGGTATCAATCGATTGTGTATTATTATTTACTACATTGGCTGTTGGTCGCCATAAATCACCAGCAGCAAAAGGATTCGAAATTACATGTGTAGTCTGATTTCCAACATTCCAAATTGAATTTGAAGCTAGAAAAGTAACGACAATAAGATACATTTCGAAAATATTAACGAATTAAGCTAGTTGTATAAAAGACATATGTATACCATTGTTGGTATTCCATGTAGATGTATTTAGAGTTGTTATAGTATCATCTTTTAATTGAGTTTGTTTCATTAAGGAATCTAAATCTTTCAGTGCTGCGTAACGATCTTCTGATGGAGGCATATTTGCTCCATTTGCATTCATTGTATTTGTAGAATTTACTGTAGTCTGATTAAACGGACTTGTCAACTCAATATCTAAATATAAAAAATAAATAGTTATTATTTGAATTATATTATTCTACTTTCTGTACGTTAAATAGATTGGATCTTTAATTTACTTGTATTGTTTGAACTATTAAAAATAGGATTGTTGTCAAAATTGGCAAAGAATGGCTGAGGTACAATTGGTTGACTGAGTTTATTCGTAGGTGCTGTAGTAGTAATAAATGGATCAGGAACTTTGCTGAAATCAGCTACGAAATCTGCTGAAAAATTATTAGAATTAACAGATACGGGAGATAAAGTAGATGTTCCGGAGTGTGGAACCCTTGGAATGTTGATTTGATTCGATGATTGTGACTTTTGATTTGCCATGGACGGATCCAGATAGTATCTTTTAAGTTCATATTTTGCAGTCATTAGATCTTTCATTTTTTGTTCGTCTTTTGTGTCTAAGATTTGAGAGGAATTTTGATTCATTAAGCCCAACCATATCCTTCTGCAATATTCATTACCACGTTCTTTTATAAAATCTATTTCTTCTTGTGTAAATGTTGCCATAGAAATAGATTTTACTCTGTGTGGTGGTGTCAAGCCTCGCCTGTAATATTAAACAAAACTAATGACAAAATTTTCTTTTTTTTAAAAATTAATAATATATTTCATATTAGAGGTATTCATCCATCTTATTTTTTATTACTTAAAAAATGTAAGTTAAATATTCCTTTTAAGTAAAATTTTATTATGGTAATAAATTAATTAAATATTTGAAAAGAAAAAAGATATATATCGACTTAAAATGCTTGTTAAAGTAACAGAAAATGATTCAACAGATTGTATTTGTTTACAAAAAAAAGACATATGTAATGTATCTAAGATCTATTAGCACAGTAATTTTTTAACATAAATAATAATCTCCTATAAAACTGCTTTTTCTCACTTTAAGTAGCGTGATTGTCACAAAATTGCAGTTAATGTTATTTGCTAATCAAATAAGGAAAATATTACATTTTCAAAATGTTAGTGTTTGACTATCATCTCAAGAACTTAAATGAATATTTTCTGTACTAAAAAAAATTAAATATGTAATTAATTACAAAGAGCATCAATCAAATTGTCGAATAGTTTAAAACTAAGTAATGCTTATATCGTAAAACTATATTTCTGGTATCATACATTTTTCCATAGACTGATCTATTATCAACATGTATCCTTGTGTCGTATGATTATGACTTGTCTGATGACTTAGTCTACAACGTTCATGATACAACCACTGATTTCCTTCCTTATATATATGAATGTAACATTTTGACCATTGATAACAACAACTACGCACAAAGAAACTACTGATGCTGATAGTATGCTAACTTCCTGGGTACAAACACGAATATTTTACAGTGACTCATTATCTTTTACATAAAATAACAGTAAAGCGCGTCTGTAGCACGTGTTTCGCCAGAATGTAACTACTTACACATGCGAATAGCAATATCTTAATTTTTTATTAATAATGAAATAACTTTTCTAATGTATTCGTATCGTTGACATTTAGTTAGCGCTAATCTCGAATCTATCATCACCGAGTACCGTTCGAGAAAAATGCGAAAGTACCCTTGCTCTTGACACAATGAGACAATAAGTAAAATAATCGTTTCGTCAGTCTAAACGACAAAAGAAACTGTTGGTACACTTTATTGGATTCTTACAAGTAACATGTACTTACAGCATACCAGAACAAGAAGTACAGACAAACGAACCGATTGTCATGTTGACGTAAGTTGGACCTCGCTGATGGCAGTCGAAACATTCTTTGTTACCGGGTTGCGAGACCAGCTCGCGTAATATTTTCAAATTCTTCTCGTCTTGCTTTCTCTTCGCGGAAGCCATCATTTATGAAGGTACTTTGTAATTCTAAACGGAACAGAGACACGACTCCTTTCGCGGTCTGCTTGCGGAACTGACTCAATTTTCTGTCACGACAATCGTACGTGTTCCGTAACACATTCTAAAAATGTTTCTCGAGAAAACGGATCAAATGCAAATCATGTTCGCAACAATCTTTAAAGGCGAATTTTCACTCGCGGAATATTTTTATATCGGAATAGAAATATTTATTGATCAGATTTTAAAGAATAATTGTAAATACATTAAGAAAAGCGATTCGACGTTTATTTTGAAACTGGAACTAAAGAAAAATTTATACTGTATAACTTTACTCGTACTTTGTTTAATTTTAAATTACAGAAAGGAACCTGCAAAAGTAAACTTCAAATTAATTTCTTAAGAAATATGGAAAATTTTTAAGTTGTAAACGATATTTATAAATATGTACTTATATACTAATGAAGAGATTTAGATTATTTATTCAGCTGTTTTGTATTTTTAATGCATGAAAAGTAATCATTTCTAATTAAACAGTAAATTATTTTAGAATAAGTTCTATTTGTAATTATGTAACGTGTAATATTAACTAACAACTCCTTATACGCATACGTGAGTAATTATGCTATTTTAATTATGTATTTCCAATATAAGAGAATAAAGTATAAGAGAATAAATTGTATTTATTACATATATTAAATGTAATATTATAAATTACGTTTATATACTATATTATATTTGTCCGAAACAAAAACTTATAAAAATTATATAAATATTTTAAATATTTGTGAATATAGAGATCAGTAAAATCCAAACTATTTGTAAACTACCCCCACTTTTCACCAAATCACAAAACTTCGACGCAGTCTGCTACATATGGATCAATGGCCGCTGAATATGAATATCTTTTCCGTAAAATATATATCGCTCCTTATTAAATGGAATGTTCAGAAATATTAAAAAGAGAATAATTGTGTCTATTTCAGACAAATTTATAAAGTCCTTCAAATTATTGCTGTCAAGGAAGAGTTCAAAGTTACTTCGATTTAAAAATATATGTATCTTCGCATCAACATATACGAAATTTATAAAAAATGAATAATTTTATTTCGTAGAGGATTACAAAATTTTAAGTTTACTCCGAATAAATCATCAATTAATCAATTCTTTATATTCATCCACATATATGATATATATTTAAAAGAAATATTTCTATATCATAGAGATATATGAAATCCATAATACAATGAACAATATGCGATATTATTTTTAACAGTTTTTGAGTTTCATTCACAATAAGAAGTTTTCTTGGAATACACAGCAATTGATTGTGGAGAAAGAATCTGCTGCATGAGGAACCCCACCTTTGACATCTTTAACATAAATGCTATATGTATTGTATAGTTGTCTGTAAATAATCACACGTGATTTCACAAAAAAGTTAAGAAAAAGTTGATTACCAAAAAAATTTGATTATAATGCATTCATACATTTTTCTTATTATTTATCTCAATTGCTCTTAATTATGAAATTGTAAGATATTTTCATATGAATAATTAAAATATGCATTGTTCA